CAACAAAAATTACGCGCGCGTGCAGGTTTTTTTATTATTATCGTAATTGACGACAACACAATGGGGGTTTGACCTTTGATGCAGTGATTTCCAAGGTTGATCCTCATAAGGACTTTTTTATTGTTTGTCATTTTAAAAAAAATTTTTTTGGGCCCCCCTTTTTTTTATACTTTCAAAATATAATATCTAAGTTAAAATAAATAAACGTCCGTGAAAATGGGAAAAGGTTTTTTTTTTTAAACAATTGTTACGAAAAGGATCGATTTGTTATTTTTTTCTAAAAAAAAAATTTATTAAGGGTTGTTATTATTTAACATTTTTTTATCAATCAATATTGTTATTGTTTGTTTGTTTGTTCGTTTGTTGTTGTTGAAATTTAAGGAGTCCGAAATAATTTCGTCGTTAAATTTTCAATGGTTAAACTTTTGTTTTGAAAATTGCGAAGGTCGTTTTTTTTTTGTCGCCATTTTAAATTTATGATTGAAAATTTCCTGCCACTGGAATTTCTTTTTAATTTATTGTTTAATGTGGGGGGTAAGAGGGGGTAGGGATAGGGGTAGGTGCTAAGATTTTCGAAAAATTATGTAATAATCGTGTAGAGTCAGTAGTTTAACAAAAAAATAAAATTTTTGAATCACTATGTCATTTTTTTTTTGGGTGGGGGAAAATTGTTTCATTGTTTCACAATGTCAAACGGTTATTGTCAGGTACGAATCGAGGAAACGTACCATCATCATCATCATCATCCCGATTTCTCAGTAGTAGTATTGTTACAGGTGTTTAAGAAGGTATATTATTTCCAAGAATGTGTTTAGCATTTCGTAATGCGATCACGTTTTTTTTTTTAAAGCAAACTCGGTCGATTTTAATACTTCGTCTGCTTTTATTTCCTTCATTCGAAACGATTGACCATTAGCAATAATAATAATAATAATAATAATAGTTGAACGAATAAACTCGAAAAAAAAAATTATGGTAATTCCTCTCTGTTTTCCATAAGTTTTGCACTCGATCTATCGATCGATCTAAGGATTTTTCTATTTTCGAATCAACTATTGATCGATATCTCTAATTTTTTATTTTCCTCGATATATCGATTTCATCAGATATTTATTTGCTTGTTTTTTCTTGGTTTAAAAAGTTAACATGTACGAATGTGTAATTGTACGAATGTCGCTTTTTTTTTTTAACAATTTAATTTGATCATGCAATCCCATCGTAATATAAAAAAAAAATATTTATTTTTATCGCTTCGAGGATAAAAGTTTAAAAAAAAAAAAAAAGAAATGTCGTTATTAAGGTTCATAAAATAAAATAAAAAAAAAAAAAATTTTATTTGTGGAAAAAAAAAAAATCTGCATGTTATTCTTTCTCATCGTAAGGAAAACGTAGAATGATCAATTTAATTTAATAAAACATTAGCCAAGTGACTGTCCTTGGCCGCAACAGTCTAGGTAATTCAGTCAAGGTTTGAAGGCAATGAACTTGCCGTAAAAAAAAATTAAAAAAATAAAATTTTAAGAAAAATCTAATTCGCATTTGTAAAGCGTTGTCACAATCGTTCAACTAACGTTTCCCCTTCTTCGTTTGACATTCAGTTTCTAGCATTATCGGAAAAGCACACGACGGGTGGGGGAAAAATTTCCTGTTTGAAAGAAAAAAAAACCACTAAAATCCGACCAATCGGAATCGTCGAGCGAGTACGAAATCGTAAAAGGCATTCGTACTACGTCGCACCCGTATCAAATCGTTCCCTTATTGCACGCGCCTAAAATCACGTGACGCGCCCGCGATTGGTCGTTTTTTGCGGGAAATTTAAAATCGAGAGAGAAAAAAAAATTGTCAATGACCTTTACGTATTTAACTATTTCGATATTGTTTTATTTTAAAGTGAGCGAGCGAGCGCGAGAGAGAGAAATAGTAAGCGAAAAAAGAATATACTCGTAAACGTTTAACTTATGTAAAAGTGAATTTTTTGTAGAGTGCGAAAAAAAGTTTTAAAAAAATTGTTGCTATGGAATTATAATCCTTGATACGATTTCGTTTACCTTATATCTCGTTAAACGAAGAGAGGAAAATGGTTTAGTCGGTGTTTCGCAGAAAAGAATCGCACGATTTTTTTTTTTTTTAAATAATTGTGTCTCTCACGTTTAACTTATGAATAAGTATGGGCATTTAAACGCGATCACGTCTTACCGTTATTTTTTCGTATAACAATAATCATCATTATTATTATTATTATTATTTGTTGTAATACCAACAACGAGCGCGCGAGGGCAAGCAACAACGTAGAGTGTTTAACATTAGCGAAGGAAAACATAGGAAAAAATATTCGGTCGAAATAATTATTATTGACATTCGGTAAAAATTAAAGGAGAAAAAAAAAAAAAAAAAAACAGCATGGCAGGCAGTCTGTGGACTTTCAGTTTCATCCCGTCTTTGTGTAGTGGTTGATCTAAAACACGTAATTTTTTTTTTCTTTTTTAATATTTATTATAAATAAATTAAATAAATTTTTAAATTGTGATTCGGTTTTTCTCGAATGAAAATATATCCGGGGAAAATTTTTTTTGTTTTTTTTTCGGTCGGGATTTTTCCGGAAAATTTTTTTTTTTAATTTTTTTTTTTTTTCGGTGAAAAAACTCACGCGGATGCTGTTATTATTATTATTATTGGGTTGTTTTTTCGGTTGTTTTTTGTTTGTTTAATAAATGGTGTTGTTTTTGGAAAAGTGTGTATCGACGTTATAATAATAATAATAATAATTAGGATCATGAAATTGATTTTTGTGTTTTGATTTAAAAAAAAAAAAAAAATTTTTTTTTTGGTGGTGGATGTTTTTTTTTCTTTTTTTTTTTTTTTTTGTTTTTAATATAAAATAAAATGGTTTTGTTAAACGGGTATCACAGGCACATTAATGATAACGTATCGGAACGTGGTGGGTTAATGACACAACAACAACAACAGCACCACCAACAGCAATTTAGAAAAGAACCGGAATTGAATATAGGTATTGAACAATTTTTTTTTTCTTTTTGAATTTTCGTTTTGGGCGGAGGGGGTAGTTATTGATAACCGTTCGATATCTATTCGATTGATAAACACGCGTACCCCCTCACCCCCATTTGTAATTATAACCTCACGTTTTTTTGGATAAGGGTTGTTGTGATAAATTGAAAACGCGTGTTTTTTCTTTCTCTGTCGTATAAAAAAAAAAAAAATGGCGGTGATTATCGATAAAAACAACACTTTCGAATGTGTAAAAATATTATTCCCCCCAAACCATTTATCATGCCCCCTCGTAAAAGTGTTCTCTTACCCTACCCCTCCCCCATTTTAATTCCACGACAAAACTTTCGCGTTTTTTTTTTTTAACGCACCCGGTTTGCTTTCATGTATGACTCCCTGTTTATCTCTTTCTCTTTCTCTCTCCGTAATTTGTATTTTCACTCTCTAAATTTATTGGCACGTTATAAAATTATTTATTTATTTATATAAATATATAAATAAACATAAAAGAAAGTGATATTTTTTTTTTTTACCAACCTTGAATTTAGTTTTTTTTGGGTATGCCAAGTTCAAAGAGGGACCCTCACTTAACAACAACAACCCTCGCGTGAAAACAAATACAAAAAAAAGTGCCGAATACATTTCGGAAGGAAGGATGTGATGATACATCAAAAAAAACGAATAATAATAATAGTAATAAAAGAAAGAGAGAGTGAAATTTTTTTTTCTTTCTTTTTAGAACCTTTTTTTTAATGTAATAAAATAAAATAACCTTGAACGGGAAAACGAAAATCGTATCCAAAAATAACCAACCCTCCTTCTTCCCCCCCATTGAAACAACAATAATAAAAATTATATAGAAAGTGAATTTTTTTATTTATTATCATTATTATCATCACTTACATTTAGGTTCTCTTTTTTTTATGGCAGGTTTCATTCAAAATGTCATTTATTATTATTATCATTATTATTATTTTTTTTTCGTCTGTCGGTACGTTCGTATTTGCATTTTTTTTCTTTTTTACGACACTTTTTTTAAACGAACGTCGTAAGATTTTTCAGGTACGATGATAAATCTTTTTTTTTTTATTGGTTAATGTAAAACGTCGTTCGTTTTATTATTATTATCATTATTATTATTTAGGTTACGGGGTGAGTAAGGGAGGGAAGTGGGGGGGAAATTAAGAGAATTTTTTATTACTCGTTTGTCCTTAATATTGAATAAAAAAAGGGTGTTGAAAATGAAAAATTTTTTCAGGGTTTTTTTTTTTCTCTTTTTTTATTGTCCTTTCCATCATTTGAGCTTTCACTTTCTATTTAAAATAAAAAAACGCCGCGAAAAAGTTTTTTTTCGAATTTTTTATCATTATGAGTATTATCATCATCATTACGATCGCCGAAAAACGATTTTCTATTGGACGAATGATTACGTAAATTTTTTTTTTAAACGCATTCGTTTAAACGCGCGTTTTTAAGTCGAAACATTGCCTTGGACAGGATCGTTTTTACTTGCAGAAACAACATTTCGGTGTTTGTTTGTTCGCGAGAAAATTTTCCACGCGGGAAATAAATAAGCTTCGAAAAAACAAAAAAAAAGAAAAAAAAACGCGGCGTACGCGTATTCGCCGGGAAAAAAAACGCTGTTAAATAATACTTTATTAAATAAGTAGTTGTTGTAATAATAATAATAACAAGATGGTTGTTACGCATGAGAAATTCGATATTAATGTTACGTTTTAATGACGTCATTTTCATTTTTCCCGATGAGTTTATTTTGATGACGCGACATAACCGCCACCCCCAGCTCTCGGCGATTATTTTTTCATCGCTCATTTTTTCGGGAGGGGTCCGGCGAATTTCCCGGGAAAGTCACGATGACGCTCATCATCACGATGATTAAATTAACTTTTTTTTTTTTTTTTGTTTTTCAGAATTCGACGGAACGACCGTCCTCTGTCGCGTTTGCGGTGACAAAGCGTCAGGTTTTCATTATGGCGTTCATTCCTGCGAAGGTTGCAAGGTAAGATTTCAATAAAAAAAATTTATTTATTAACCAAACTACGATATCATCATCATCATCATTATTATTTATACTCCTGGAATGGAAAAATAAAAATTTTTCCCTCTTGTTTGTCGTACCAAAAAAACAACCCTTTTGCAAAAAAAGGGAAAAGAGACAGGAAACATTCGTTTGTTCGTTTGTTTGTTCGACGAAAAGGTTTTTGTCATCCTTAATAACAAATAATAATAATAAATTTTTTGTATAAAATTTGGAAAAAAAAGATGAAGAGGAAAAGAGAGAAAAACAACAACAACAACCTTGATGGTCCATTGCCCTCGGTTTTTACCCTTTTTTTCCACGGGTAGTTTCGAATTTTTTGGTTACGTAAACAAGAAAAACCTGCGCCAGCTGCTTCGTGACATTGAAAAACATTATATTACGACGATGTTGTACAAATGTTTTGATGGATGGATGGGTTTTTCGAACCATATTTTCACGATGGTGGTAGTAAGGGGGGTGGTGGGCGGTGGTAGTAGTAATACCCGAAACCGGGTAAATATTTAAAAGGTAGGATCTGAATCGTAACAGATGAGAGAGTAAAAACTGTTATATAATTTTCACGTGATAATACAAAATCCGAAAAAAGGGTAAAAAAAAAAAAGGGGGGGGTCTTAGTTAAAGAGAGGGTTGAGGGTTTTTGGGGGAAGAGAGTGAGAGAGCGAGTAAGAGAGAGAGAGGGGGATAATAGGTGTTTTTTTTACGTTTTTCGGGAAACAGATGTTGATAGAAATTGTTTTTTTGGGGGTTTTTTCTTCTCGTTCACCCCTCTTCCCCTCTCTTATCATATGCGTGATATACCACCCTCCCTCTCTCTCTCTTCCTTTCCCTGCTACTACTACCGCCTCGATTCGAATTCGAACCGTATGAAAATTATTGTTGTTATTATTATTAATATTTAAAATCCGATCGTTTGCACTCTTGTGTGTGTGTGTGTTTCCCTGAGGCGGCGGCAGTGCAGTGAACGCTCACGAACGTTTTTTTTTTTTTACACTCGTTGTGATTATTTAGCTATATATAGAGTTGTGGGATGTCAGCATGAGGTTGTGTTACACCGGGGAACGCCAAAAACAAAAAACAAAAAAAAAAGCAACAGAACATTACACGAAAAAATTTCATACATAACTCTATAATTTTTTGTTTGTTTGTTTGTTTGTTTGTTTGTTGTGTTCCTTCGAGTTGAAGGTCACATGGAAGGATGTCAACGCACCCGCCAATGACTTATTGCGTTTCTTGGTAACTCGCTCACGTTATTGTTCCTATTGTTGACCTTCTACATTCAAATTTCCTTTGTCTAGAAAACGGTAGCTGTAAACAAAGGTTCAAATTTCTTAATTTTTTGTTTTTTTTTTCTTTTCTTTTCTTTTTTTTTCTCTTTCTCTCTTTTTCTTTCTATTATTATTATTATCGTCGTCGTCTTCGTCATCATCATCATCATCATCATAATTTTTATTATTATTATCATCGATATTGCTGTACGAATGAAAAAAAAAAACTGACGAACGCGGCTTCGAATTCTTGTTTTTTTTTCGAGATTTCTCATGGCTTAGGACTCATTTTGTGATTTTTCCAATGCGGAAAATTTCCATTTCCGGTGTAATTTGTTGAATGATCGCTTTAAAAAAAGGAAAATTCATGGAAAAAAATTATGGTTCGGGAAGAAAGTGACCGAGGAGAGAGAGAGAGAGAGAGAGAGAGAAAGATAGGAGTGTTTCCTTTGACAATGATTTGGAAGGTTGATCGGTTTTTGAGTCACTGATTTTGTGAGTTGCGGTTTACGTTTTTTCCAGGTTTTGCTTTTTCCGGTTTCCACCATCATCATCATCATCACAAAGCCAAAAACTTTCAACAACAAAAAAAATTATAAATTAAATTTTTTTTTCGTTTTTAATAAGCATTCGTTGTTTTTTTTTTTTATATTTCAATTCACACTGATATGTTGTCAAACCTGTTGCTGAAGTTTATTACGTCACAAGGACGTCAACTCTCCATAATAATATTCGCGTACCTTTTTTTTTGTCGTAAAAATATTTTTAATACACCTGAAAAAGTAAATGATAATAATAATAATAATAAATAACGATAAATGATTGTTTCAATGACCTCTCGCTCTTCGTATTTCTCTTTTTCTTTTTCTTCTTCCACGTTGAAGGTTGTTCCTTTATCAACAGGTCATCCACAAAAATTTATTTTTTTTCCTTCGGGATGGGGAAAAAAAAAATTTTTTTAACCACCACCACCATCACCACATTTTGAATCTCACGACGACATTTTGTCGTTTTTGTCTTCTGCCAAAAAAAAAAAAAATTGTCAGTGTTTTTTTTTTCGCTTGACTTCCGGACAATTTGTTGTTTTTGGTATTTCAAGGCTTTGTTATTTATAAAATTAACTTTTTTTTGTCATCGGCGTGACTCAAATCGATTTATTGACATAACTATTACATTATTAACGTTTTTTTTCGTTTGTTCGTTTGTATACAAACGAACGTAAAAAACATAAAAAAATTTGTAAGCGAAAGAGTACGAAAAAGTTATTTAAAATTTTTTTTTATTGACGACGACGACTACGACAATTATTATTATTATTATTATCATTATTATTATTATGTATGTCGAATTTCTGTTTTATTCTGCTTGCTTTAAAAAAAAATAATAATAATAAATTTTTTAGTCGACATTTTTCGCACGGATGCGAGAAAAAGAGAGAAAAAAGGAAAGAAAATGTTTTATTTAAAAAAAAAAAAAATTAAAATCATAAAAAGACTTATAGATCGTTTTGAAAATGAATAAACGTCAAGTTTTTTTTAAAATAAATTAATCATTCGATCGACCTTGGCGAGCGAAAAAAAGGTCGTTCAACTTTTTTTTTCTTTTTTTTTTTCTTCTCATTTTCTCGGTTGCAACAAACAGGCGCGATGGATCGATCGATTGATCGATTGTTTGTCGAAATTGGGGGGGGGGGTACGAAATTTTCCCGAGTTTTCCAAATTGAGTTTACCCTTACTTCTTTCTAGTATTTTTTTTTCTCTCTTTAACACGACCCCCCTTCCGGATACGGTTTTCGGATTTGGAAAAAAACGCTGCGTGAGTGTTTTCATGCGTATGTGCGTGCGCGTAATATACACATATAAATATATATACGTGTGTGAGTATAAAATGTATAAATCGCTTCCGCATTCGTCAAACCTTGGATCTTTTAGCCTTGGTCAAATCGTGTTGCAAAATTATAAGTTTTTTTTTTCTCTCTCTCTCTCTTTCTCACTCACTCCCATCCGCATAAACCGTTTCCTCATTTTTTTTTTTTTTACAAATACACATATATACATTTTCACGGAGGTTGTTGTTTGTTGTTTGTTTGTTTTTATTATAATAAAATTTTTCCGAAGGGACAATTCGATCGTGCTTGAGTTCAATCGGTCAATTAATTGTTTGTTTTTATTTTTATTTTTATCGCATTATCACACTTTCTTTATTATTATTATTATTATTATTATTATTATTATCATTAATAATATTATTAATCAATTATTAATAATTGGATGATGAACGTTTTTACGACGAGGGGAAATTAAAAAAAAAAAAAAAAAAAAAAAAAAAAAACGATGTAACAATCGAAAGAAATTTTTTCTTTTTTTTTTTTTTGATTTTCCGTTTGTATATCCATTTGCGATACATTTAATTATTATTATTATTATTGTCGTCGTTTGTTTGTTTAGCACATAATAATAAAATAAATTATTGCATCGCTATCGGTATTGAATTTTATGTAAGGCAAAAAACGCCTTGTGATGTTTTTTTTTTTTTTTATATATTTTTTGTACGAATCAGCACAACAACCATAGAACGCCAGCCATAGAAAAAATTGCAAATGTCGTCGTTTACTTTGTTTTACTTTTCTATACACAAAAAAAAAAAAAAAAATTAAAAACGGGTTAATTTCTTAAAAGTTCTTGACTTGCCAAAAATTAAAAAAATTGTTGGTTAGTCGGTTTCTGTAATAAAAATAAAATCAGGACTTTTATTATTATTATTATTATTATTAATAAACGCCACATTGATTTTAAAAATGAATGGCATGAAAATATTATTATTATTTTATTACGTTTTCCCGCGTTTTGTATATATGAGAGGAAAGGAAAGGGGGGAGAGGCTTCACTCGGAAGAGAAGAGGTTTCTTTTCTCCCCGGGGAGGGGAGGGAGAGGGAGATGAGGAGAAAAGAAAAAATTATTATTTTTTTTTTTGTTATTTGGAATAATTTTCGAAGTTGAACGTTCGGGCCTTGAATTTTTAAAAGCTTTCCGCGGTTGGGTCATCAACCCCGCGTTCTGACCCCATTGATAAATTATCTAAATCAAATATTTGATAAATTTGTGCAAACATTTCATCGGTTCAACGCACTACTACTACTACTACAACAACAACAACAACATATCTAAGCCGCATATGTATATGTATGCGTATATGTAAAAGTGCGTGAGTGCGTGTATCGCGTTGTAAATCTTTAACTACTGACTCGACTCGCGCGTTGTCTTCTTCTAGAAAAACAAAAAAAACAAACTTTTCTTAACTTTTTTTTTTGAAAGGTGTCCGTTTGTGTCCGTCCAGTAAACGACCAATAATAATAATAATAATAATAATAATAATAATAATAATAATCATAATAATAATAATAATAATAATAATAATGATTTTAAAATAAAAGAAAAAAAATATATTTGTTTCGATTCTTTTTGTCTTTTTTTCCCGTTTCTTTTATTGTTGTTGTTGTTGTTTTTGATTTTGTCTTCTGCTTTTTTTTTTTTTATAAGTCGTCACGTCATCTACCGTTTAAAAAAAATTTTTTTTCATTGTGATAATCGGATTTATTATATTTTCGGTGTGATGAGATGTTTTTTTTTTTTTTTAGTTTATCAAAAATAATCGATCAGGGTTCAGTTGAGACGTTTGTTTTTTTTTCGATC